GGGAGAAAACCCGAATAACCAAAGATATATATATATGAAAAATAAGAAACAATAAATGAAATTTTAAAAATTAAATTAAAATTTATTATGAAACAGGGAGCTTGATGGAAACTTCCAGCATCCTTATATCCATAAATTTTCCTTATACAGGGCACAAATACTATGTCAATATTTTATCCAAAAAACTTTTGCTCTCAACAATAACAAAAACTGAATCTCATAACTGAAATGACTAAAGCAATGCTTAAATTCTACAATATCCTTTCAGACTCAATATGAACTGTTTGTTTTAATTGTAATCCATTGGACATGTATATTTTGAATCAATTCCTTTTACAACACTCTTCATAGTATTAAAACTAAACTGAGCATTTTGGAATGAAAATGCAAAATATTTTTTAGTTCGCACAATAAGTTCTTTAACCTATGAAATTTACAGGGACATAATAGTAAATCTATATTTTATTACATTAATCAAAGCAGAAAAATGATTTAAACAACACAATAAGCTGGTGCATAAAATCGTGCATTTTAGTGTTAGAAAGACTCTCATGACATATAAAAATCATGCAACTAATAAAGCATTCTGATAGCTATTAATCTGATCCGGAAATGTCATCAAATTTTAGGAGGTAACCTTTGTTATTGGCAAGACAAATGTAAAATTGTAGTGTGCTTTACAATGCAAATCTAAATTCAATTTCTTATATATAGTGTATTAATCAATGTAAGAAATCAACATGTCTATTTATCCCATTTGACATTATACAGAAGAAATATGGAAGTTAGTAGTAATATTAATAGAACTGAAAAATGTCTGTTGAGTTCAAGAAAGCCAGTATGTGGCTTTCTTGAACTCATTTCATTATTCCATCCTTTGAATAATTAGTTAGGCCACTACACAATTGGACCAAAGGCCTAATTTAGAAACATACATGAAGCCACTAAAAATTTCCCAGTTTAAGAATTAATGCTGAAAAAATTATATGGAAGATGTTTGGGTCCTATGTGGTTCTCAATCCTTGTAAAAGTTGCCCTTGGCAAGATAGGCAGCATATAAATTAAATAAACAAGCAAGCAAGCAAATATTTTTTAGAGAATGAGGTATTTTCCCAGATCAGTACAGGTAGTTTCTGTCTTCTTTCATGCACTCAATGAGAAATGTAATCAACTTGTATTAGAATCAACATGGAGTATATGGAATCCAAAAATACATGAGAATTTACAAAAAAAATTAAGATTGAAGTGGAATACAATTCAGACCAGAATTTATTCTAACCCAAATACTAAATGTTTATTATTTCCCCCCCAGAAGATAAACAGATTACCTGGTTTAACTTGAAATATACTTATTTTAAATTGTTTTCCCAAGTAGACTATTATTCTAATATTGTTAATAATATATTTAGACTGCCATTGTTCGCAAAGCCATACATTTATAACTGGTTACGGTCTTACACGCACATTTACCAAGTTCAAAGTTATCTGCCTTCTATTCATTGTTCAACGTTCATTCAAAATTAAGCATTTGTGGAAATGCTTCAATGTTGTAAATTTCCAGTGGAAAATTTAAAACCAGGAAAAAATAAATAATAAAAATTATTTAAAATATAAGACAAATATTTTGGTAACTGGGATCCCTTTCCATACATGATGGGCAAAGGGGCATATAAGTAACAGTCACATATGCAAAACCAAGGACTAAGCAAAAATTATTGTGCACGAAAGGTTTATATGTTCAAGGGTTAAGGTGTAGGCCTTTTAAAAACTTGCATATAATGGAACCAGTATTTCACTCTAATACTTACCTGTCATAGTTTAAAATGGGCGTATTTATAAAACTCCTATAAGATAGGTGTAAGAATAGATTATGGCTATGAAAGTGTTTTATTAGGGATCCATTCAGAGCTGATACTTATAAATAGTATAAAATGAGCAAATCAGTCTTTAGATTATGCACATCAAGTATAGTGCATTGTTTAGTGGTTAAACCACAGGTCTGAGAAACGGAAGCAGCTTTGAATATTACTCAGAGCTTTCCCACTGACTCATTATGTGAACTTGACACAGGTAACAGAACCTTTTCTATTCGATTTATTTATCTATAAACATAATGGGCTACAATTCTGTATTACAGGACTAGCTTGGATAGTTTCAGAAATGGCTTTGAAGAGCTGATTACTCATATATATTAGAAAAGATATTGATTTTGCATTTTTTCAGCCTGTAAAAGATTGCCAATAGGCTAAGTTAGGAGTATGAAGGCCTTATTGCTACAATTAATACAAGCTATTTACATTAGGAAACACACACGTTGAATTCAGAGTGTTCGCAAAACGCCTATCTTGTCTGCTCCTAGAAGTGACTCTTTATCAAGCTCATCTAAGCAGGGACACACGAGTTGAAATGTTAACCCTTTCTGCCTTTTAGGGGGTTATCTCAGGAAGAGCTAAGTTCAGCAAATTTGTTTAGAGAATTGATGTTTGAAGGATGTAGAGGTAATTCCCTGGCAAAGAAAAAGTTCCTTCCCATTATGTCCTACCGATCTTATGAAAATCTTATGACAAGAAAACAAACTTTTTCTGGAGTATTCTTGTACTCCAAACTCTTTTATTTCAGAATGGATACAGAAGCAGGTAACTTAGGTTAAAATCACACGCGACATGCTAGCCTGTGGGTCAACTTTCTAGGGAAAGCAGGGAAGCCATATAATACCCAGCCACTTTTTCCACCACTCTCAAAAACCAAAACCAGGAGGAAGTTTTGTTCTTTTGTTCTCCGGGAGCCTTTTTTTTTTTTTTAAAGGAAGACCTTGGGTTGAAATGCCGAGATTCCTTCCAATCGAAGAGGCTTTCCTCACCTCTAGAACAAACACGCACAAGGGCGGCCGGGCGAGCGAGCCTCAAGAGATGGTGGACGAGTCTTGTTTCTTTGCACACTTGCGTTTGTCCTTCTAATGAACTTTCACCTCCCGAACTCTCCTCTTTTCATTGGGTAAAGTGCAAGGGGCAAGTGTGGGGGAGAGAGCGCGCCGAGAGAGAGAAAGCAGAGGGGAGAAGAGGAAATTGGCTCGCGCAGCATTTGCACTTTTGAATTCCTTCCCTTTCACTCTCCTCCGTCTGTGTGTTTTGTTTGTTTGTTTGCTTGCTTGCTTGCTTGGGGGAGGACTTCGGATTCCTTTTTCGGGAGATCTCGAAAGGATCCAACAAAGCGAGCCTAAGATTATCTGATTGAAATCGCCTCACCTCTCCCAATCTCAGCCCCCCCCCCTCCCCCGCGACCCCTTCTGTTTGCTCTTCTCCGGGCTGCCGCTTTCTTTTTGCAAACCCTCCCCACCTAACCCCCGCCGGTCTAGTTTCCTTGGCTTTTCTACCCTCGCTCCCTTTTCTCCCCATCTCTGCCTCTTTTTTTCTCCGGCAGTTTCATTCCCTCCACCCCTCTCGGGGCTCCAACACCTCTTTGCCGCGCTCCGTCCCCTCTGCCGCCTTCTCCTCCCCCCCCTTTTTTGTAAACGCGATGTATCTCTCCCCCCCGCCCCCCTTTTTGCACTGAGCCTTGTTTACCCAGCAGGTGGATGTGACGTCAGGGACTCATAACAGCAAAAAATAACAAAATCTCCCTCCGCGGGGTGTTATTTTTCCTCACCCTTCTTCCCCAAAAGCGTGTTTTTTCCGCGCAAAAAAGCTCCACGCTCCCGCGGCGGCGACGCTCGAGGCGCTTGGAGCACCGCCGCGAGGAGCCAGGACGGCGGCGGGGGATCCAAGTGAGCGAAGAGGATCGCCTTTCCTCCCTCCTCCTCCTCCCTCCTTCCCTCCCTCCCTCCCTGCTGCTGCTGCTGCTGCCGCCGCTGGATTGCCTTGCCTTGCCTGGCCTGATTGCTGCTGCTGCTGCTCTCCCCTTTTGGAAAGCTAGTTCCCGACTCGAGCGGAGGGCTCTATTGTTATTTATCGTGTGCCTGTGTTGCACGCTGTGCCTCCTGCATGGGGCTGGCTGGCAGGCTAGAAAGGGAGAGAGAAGGGAGGGAGGGTAGGACGGAGTGAGTAAAGGGAGGGACAGACAGACAGACTCACTCACTCACCCGCCCGCAGTGGGGGGAGCCCCTTAGCTGGCACCGCCAGGCCGTTTCCAGCGGGTGAGTTTGCCATTTCGCATTTTCTCATCCACTTTTAAGTCTCCTGTTTGTTTGTTTTTAACCCCCCTCACCCCTCCTCTATAAGCCCCCCTTCCCCGGCTCGGATCCCCCCCCCCTCTTACCTTTCCACACGTGCCTTGGCATCCCCCACTTCTCTCTCTCTCTCTCCCCCCCTCCCCCCTCAGCGCCCTAGCTTTTGCATAAAGCCCTTACAGACGCAATGGGAAAAAGCTGCGACTCTTTCACCTCTCAGGCTCTTCCTTTTTCTTTATGTCCCATCTGTGCACCTCATTCATCTCTTTCCCTCCCTCCCTCCCTCCCCCTTCTTTCTTCCACGCGCTGGACGATGCACACATGACCCTAGCAAGTTGGAAGCCGCTTTTGCTCTCTGCCTTCCCCGTGTCTGTGTGTTGAGCGCGCGCGTGTGTAAAAAAAAAAAAAAGACCCTCAAGCGGGAAAAAGGGGAGGGTGGGAGCGATCGGACCCGGGCAGGGTTTGCTGGCGGGGGCGGGTTGCGCTTCCTTTGGTAACTTGGGGCACTTGATGGCGAGGAAGACGGGGAAGAACTTTTAGTCGACTTGGAACAAACTTTTGCCCCGTATGCATTTTGCTTTCTCTTGCTTTCGTGCAGCGAACTTCAATGAATAGGCCTTTGGGACTTACACCTTACCGGCTCACTTTAACTTGAACTCGCCGGTTTTCGTCCGCGCGCGCGCGCGCACGCACACATATATACACACACACATACACGGGTCACAGTTCCGTGCTCTTGGTCGAGCGTGCGCGGTTGCCACCAGGCTTCCTTTCCTACCTCTCTCCATCCCGAGGGCTTGTATGAGTGTGCAAACCACAGAAAAACAATTTGCCAGTTCGTGCACTCCGAAGCGCTCACTTAATCGCGCGCCTATTAGACTTGCATTTAATGATACACAACAATCAGACCGATTGAACTGCTAATGCCCCACGCCAACCGTAGCATATTTCATTAGAAAGACACCTTCGGACTAGACTAGAGGTTAGAAACACTCCGATTATACACAAGTGACAAAGCCGACACAGCACTAACCTCTCTCGTTTCTAAAACCACGCCGGCCAAACACTTCAGCGTGCGATCGGTAATCCACGCTCGCAATAGGACTGGAGGCGCGCGGAAATTAGTAATTCAGCGCACAGAAAATACCTTAAATCCAACGAAAGGAATAGCAAGAACAGACGCCGCAAATTTACACGTTCACGCGCACGCATGCACACGCTCCCGCTCTCACGGGCAATGTAAAGAATGCGTGCAGGTATGTCGAAGAGTCGTCGGAGATTTCCCCCACCCCTCCCCTCCGCCCCGTGTCTGGTGGTCGGCGTCGGGCATAAGGAGAACTTCCCGCGCAATGAGTCGCGCGCCTTTTCTCTTGTTGAAGTAGCGGTCGCCGCACATTCCAGGAAGGCACGCTCGAGGGAGCCCCAGACGTGCTATTATTACCCAAGCGCTCGGCAACACCCGTCCACAACGGACGGACGCATCCTTCACACCAAGCAGCATCAGTGACTTGGTCTCCCTCTTTTCTATCTCTCTCTCTTTCCCCCACCCCTGTCAATCAAAGTCCCATGCTACAGTACCATAATCTCGCCCTGCTGTCCTTTAGCCCCGTGCCTGCGCTAAACTCCCTCAGTCTGGTCTCTTGTACCTGGTGCTGGTTTACTGCTGCCGGACGTGCCGAGTGTTTCGCCGCCGGCGGTGGCTGTAGCGAGCCGAACGTCTTCGCAGCCAGCGAGAGTTTAGGAAAAGTTAGAACAGGGCGCTGCAACTCCAGCTGCGTGAGCTATCCCAAGCCCAGTACCCGGGCCCTTTTGCTTTTCTTAACTCCCTTCCGGGGCCATCTCGGTGCCCCTCCACCTGTTATTGGGTCTTGCGATGGCGGCAGAGCTAGAGTGATTTTGAAGCGTGACAGTCCCCTACCCCAGCACGATCTTTTTTTTCCCCTTTTTCCTTTCCTGTGCTTGGAAATGAGAGCAGGTCTTTCCACCTCACCTTCCAGGCAGCGGCTGCTTCCCCGCCTTGAATGCTCCGGTTCTAGCCGTCTTTTGACCTGCAGTTTCCCACATCCAAGCATCTTGCCATGATTTGCTTTTGGGGCATCACATCTGCAAAAAAAAAACCCAAAACAAACCAAAACCCCCAGCAGATTTCCAGCTGAATTTGGAGGAGCGGTTGAAACAGGAGAATGAAAGGGAGACTGTGTGTGTGTCACAATTTTAAATCCTATTACTAGGGCAGAGTTCTTGATTGCCTTTCTTGCAAGTGCTTTCCAAGATACCTCCCCCCCAATCCCTTAAATACAAGCATATATTCTCCCCTCCCTCTTCCAGGTCTTCGCCTCCCTGTTTCTTAACCAAAATCTATTTTGTGGAGACTTACTGAAAGTACCCTTGGTTTCTTCTCGACTATAGAACACAAAGTTTTTTTGCCTGCTGGAGATCACAGGAGCAACAAGAGCCCCCCTGAGTTAGGAGCTGGGTGTTGACGGTGGCAATCACACCATTACAGAGCTTTTTTCTATAGGTAAGTATAAGAGAACCAGTGGAGACTTTAAGCAAAAAAACCCGCTCTAGGATAACAATTGTGAATCATTCTAAAGAACAAAAACCCCCCCTCCAATTTGCCAGATGTGTGGGCTTAGATTTTTTTTTTTGCTTCAAACCATGGAAATGAGAGAAAGAAGGATTGCATACAGAATGTAACATCCTTGTTTTTAAGCTTAAAATTAGAGTTCAGGAGTTTAGCAAACAATATAAATACTGTCATAAAAGATGATGGCAATTGTCTCCTTCCTCATTTCATCCCATCCCGCTTGATAACTATTAATTATTTCCAAGTCATTGTGTTCTGATACTGCTGCTAGCCTGATTCCTAAGTGTATTGATTTTGCAGTGTCTACATCTGATGGTTTAATTTTTTACCCCATTTTCTTAAATAGAATACAAGCAAGACAAAAAGTGCAGGAAAAACTATGGAAGACAGTGGCCCAGCTTATGTTGGTTTCAGTTATGGTAGGAATGTTGAAGTTACATGCCCAATATGATCTCTGGAATGTCTATTGATTCTGTTTAAAAACATTCCCACTTCTCTGGCAGATAAATTGAGTTTTTAGAAGCATATTGTTGCTTTCAAATACCTTGTTCTTTGAGACTGAGAACCCTTGGAAGTTTCAGGTTTCATTTTTGATCAATGTTATGAATACATAATAGGATAAAATTTACATATGGTGTGTAGGTTTGATACATGGAGTGTTCATAGGTTGAATTATACAATTTAAAGATGCATACAATTTACTTCCTATTTACTTGGTAGTTTTAACATTTAATTTTTTTTATTTGATTTTTATGAAGTCACAAAAATCTCATGGGAATTTTTGTTCTATTATAGATAAGTATAAGGAATACTGCTAATGCTATTTGTTTAGTGTAATTGCTTCTACTTTTAATTGTACAATGCCAAAGAGGAAAGGAAACCTTTTAAATATTCTATGTTTTTTTATGAAGAAGAAACAAGAATTTTCCAAGCTAAAAAGAAAATAGCCACTGAGTTCTGTTAAGGTCAGAGTGAATCTGGGGGAAGAATTGCAACTAAGAGGATTGTAAAAGAAATTTGGACTGTTTCAAGTTATGTGTAATTCAATTTAATGTTTTAGTACTATGCAGGATGAAAGAATGAGAGAACCTTGTCACTTTTGTACAAAATGTGTCAGCTACAATTTCATTGCAAAAAGGTATTTCAGCTGTAACTTCTTACATTGGCAGCATTCTTTCCTTTCAGTCTTTTTAGTCATTGTATGGGAGAGGGATGGAGGGGGGGAGTCACTTTTTTTTTTTAAAGTAAACAGCTTCCAACAAGTGAACCTTGACAACCCAGATTAGAGAAGGCAGCAGAGATCAAACAAAGCTGCTGCCGGGGCTGTCCTTAAAAGCAGCTTCACTGAAAGATTCGGACTATTCGATCAGGCAGCAAGATTTCTGTGTTCAGTTATGCAGAAATGGACCATTACAAACACTTGGTTACTAAATCTAAAGATAACTTGGAAGAAAGCTTATCTGTATTGTATTGGTTTTAGATTTTTAACCTAATTATTATTTGAACGACTAGTTAATTTAAAGAAAGGCTACTCCTGATTGGACCGAATTACTTATTTTATGCTCCACTGATGTGCAATTGTCTTTTTATCTCCAACACCTTGAAGTGCAAAGATGAATGCTTGTGCTCTCCAGAATATATAAAAATGGTCAGAAAATAAAAGTTTAGCTCTTTGGTTATAGACTTTCTGCATTGTCAGGGAAGGCAGACATTTTGCAGGCTACAGAAGTGTTCTAATATAGACTGGAATAGTTTCATTTTCCATTTTTTTTTGTATTTTGTAGTTTTAGAAAGTTGAAGAAATAATTTTTGAAATTCCAGAACATACTTGTCTCACTGATGGCTATGTACCATTTTTTAAAAATTAAAAGTTGCGTTTACATTTCCCCCCAAACTTTGCAAGTATTACTTATAGTGTTTTATAGATTTTGAATGTTTAAAAATAGCTTTATATATAATTGCCATGCAATCTTACACTGGTTACTCAGAAATAAAATACATTATGTTCTGAGGGCTTTACTTCATTTATATTAAACTTGTAGTGTAAGCTTCTTTATTCAGTTATCAGGGAGAAAACCCATTGAAACCAGTGGGATTCCCTTTTGAGAACACTAGGATTACATTACTACTTTTTTGAAATATTTTAAGATTTCTGTAATTGATTGTTTTAATGATGTTATTTTTATTATATTCAGACTAGTTTCTTGTCATTATTATTACAAAAGGCATTTCAAAAATTACAAAACTCCAATTTGCAAGTATAGGTAAATTTGAAATACAAATTATAGATGGCTATTAATGAATGAGTCATCAGCATTGCTTAAGTGGTCTTTTTCATTAGTATTTCTGATTAGAAAATAAACACAAATTCCTCTTGTAATCTTTGTAATCCTCCAAACATTACACTATGAGGGTTTTTAAAAATTATTTGTTATCTGATAAAGCATATGTACAAAAACATACATATGGCTCTTCTGTCATTTGTGTTAATATGTAACATGCCTGTCTTTAAAAAGCTATAAATTTAATCTTCCTACTTTCAGCATTCCTACTAACCAGTATTAAAATAATTTATTTCTGCTCTGCTAAGAAAATTGAGCCAATTCCTTTCCAGGACCTTATTTTTAAGGTGCTTTTGTAATGTAAGTGCAGTACAGTTTATAGGTGAAAGACCTCCATTTAATAGGTTATATGTGATCTTTTACACATTGATAATAATGCAATAATGAAATCCAACATCGTGTTGTCTTGTATTTGGAAAAGAGTTGAACTTTTCCAAATTGAACATAGGTACTGATGTTCTTGTGTTCTGCTAGTCTTTCTTTAACTGAAAGTTAATGGGTATAATTTATGGCAATTCCCATTGATTTCTTTGGAAGGTAAATTATACCTCCTGAATATTCTTTTATATGAATACATCAGCTATTCGATACAATTTAATTCATATGCAAACCTATGAAAACATCTCAGCAAACGATTTCAGCAATTGTGTTTTATATATATAAGTCTTCAATGAATACTTTTCCAGGTGTCCAGTGATATATAGAATGCAATAGTGATTTTCTTTCAAAATATTGTAAACTTTATATAATGATAGTCCAACAGTATAATAGTATAAATTTGTTTATGCTTCTATACTAAAATAAGCTTTTTAAACTCCAAAAGGGAGTGACAATAAGTGCTACTTCTGTCTTCAGCTGTCATGATGGTCTTAAATTATAATTTTATTCACTGCACTAAATTTTGAATTTTTTTGACACGGCTCAGTAAGATTTCATATATACATTTGCACGCATGCTTGTATAATTTTACAAAGCAACAATATAGCTGGATACAACTTTACCTGTTTTTGAATGGAACAATGTTTTATTGTTTTGTAGTCAAAGGAAACTGCAGTATGTTCCTTACCCCGTTTTCTAAATCACACTGTACTGTTGTAGCTTCTGGCTTTTTAAAGTAGTATTATAAGAACGTCAGATTTGTGTGTGTGTGTGTGTGTATAAGTCAAAGAGTTAAGTTAAGTTCAGAATTTATTATGTAAATAAGTAGTTTTTAGTTATCTGAACTAATTATGTAAATCTTCTGACATTTCTTGGGAAATTGGAAGGAGGTCCAGAGAAGGTCTTTATTGTATCAGAGAGTGTAACTTGTACTTTTTTATCCTTTCAAGTTACCTCAGATCATTTTTAGTGAATTGAACAATTTCAGGTAAAAAATGCTTAAAGACAACTCAAAGGAAAAAGACACAAGTTCACTCTTAACTTTTCCTTAAAGCTGTAACACTATTTTGTGTTATTGGGCCACTGTGGATTCAATTCCATTTCAATTCCAATTCCATTCAGTGATATTGAAGTTCTATATCATTATAATTTATAGTTGCCTTGTTACAAATATTAAGGAATACGTGTCATTCTGAAGATATATCTGTTTTAGTATATCACTGTTTAAATCTTGACGAGTATCCATGTTTCAAGCTGTGGCATGTGAAGTACAGGAAGGATGCCAAGTTCTTTCTAACTGCTGTCAGTTATATACAGTTCCAGTTGGGTTCCATTTTTCCATATCTGAGACAAAACCTTGACACCAAGACCCCTTATTTGGGTTCCAGTTGTGAAGTAAGGCAGGATTTACTCAGCATCAGATTAGACTGACACTTAGTGGGCTTTGTTGCAGTTACATTATTTTCTTCATCAATTTTTAATCACCATTATCTTACAGAACATGCAGTAGCATAATTAGAATACATAGAAATTAGAATAGTAGTCAAATGGCAGAATTCAGCATGTGTACTTTTAAGGTAGAAGGTACTCATATTTTCAAAAAAAATAAATATGCAATCAGTGTTTAACATAGAAGCCCTAATTCTTTGCCCATGATTATTAGTTTAGTTAGGTTGCTTGCTTGGATTGGTGTAGTGAAGATAATAATTGATGAGTATGGTTCATAATATATAGAAAAATATATGGTATTGAGGATTGATGTCTTCTTCGAGCTACACATTGCTAAAAACTATAATTTCTTAACTGGAACAATAATAGAATTAATGATTCAGGGACAATAGCAGGAAGAAGTCAATAGGTATGTGCAAAATAAAATATTGAGGATTTCAAATTAAGTAAACAAAATTAAGCTTAATTCTTCTCAGTTTTATTATTTGATTAGTCACTATTAAAAAGAATTTAAAACAACTCAATAGGATTTGAATATAGACTTCTGCATCCTAGTAGGTAATTATGAAAGTTGTACTTCTAAGACATCTGGAGGATAACTAGGTTGGGAGAAGATGCTCAGTAATTGTGTAATTATTATCCATGAGGTCCAAGAACAACATGGCAATTATATGAAACCCAGAAGTTGTGAATGTTTCAGCACTGGAAGTTTTAAAGACAAGATTGGACAACCATTGTTTGAAATGGTATAGGGTTTCCTGC